CTGACCCTTCGAAGACCTATTGACCCTTCCGTGACTCAGTTTACCTCATTGACCATCCCATGACGCCATTGACCCTTCCATGACCCCCTTGACCCGTCCATGACCTCATTGACCCTTCCAAGACCCATTGACCCCTCCGTGACTCAGTTTCCCCCATTGACCATTCCATGACCCCATTGACCATCCCATGACTCAGTTTACCCCACTGCCCATCCCATGACCCCATTGACCATGCTGTGACTCCATTGACCCTCCCGTGCCTCAGTTTCTCCTGTTGACCCTTCCATGACCCCATTGACCCTTCCATGACCGTTCCGTGCCTCAGTTTCCCGCTGACCCCGTGTCCGTGTCCCCGCAGTGCCTCAGTTTCCCCTGACCCCGCCGTGCCTCAGTTTCCCCTGAGCCCGTGTCCGTGACCCCGTGTCCGTGACCCCGCCGTGCCTCAGTTTCCCCCGACCCCGTGTCCGTGTCCCCGTGTCTGTGTCCCCGCAGTGCCTCAGTTTCCCCCGACCCCGTGTCCGTGTCCCCGCCGTGCCTCAGTTTCCCCTGACCCCGCCGTGCCTGTTTCCCCTGACGCCGTGTCCATGACCCCGCCGTGCCTCAGTTTCCCCTGACGCCGTCTCCGTGTCCCCATGTCCGTGACCCCGCTGTGCCTCAGTTTCCCGCTGACCCCGTGTCCGTGTCCCCGCCGTGCCTCAGTTTCCCCTGACCCCGTCTCCGTGTCCCCGCCGTGCCTCAGTTTCCCCCGACCCCGTGTCCATGTCCCCGCCGTGCCTCAGTTTCCCCTGACCCCGTGTCCGTGTCCCCCCCGTGCCTCAGTTTCCCCTGACCCCGTCTCCGTGTCCCCGTGTCCCTGTCCCCGCTGTGCCTCAGTTTCCCCGGGCCCCGTGTCCGTGTCCCCGCCGTGCCTCAGTTTCCCCTGACCCCGCCGTGCCTCAGTTTCCCCCTGACCCCATGTCCGTGTCCCCCCGTGCCTCAGTTTCCCCTGACCCCGCCGTGCCTCAGTTTCCCCCTGACCCCGTGTCCGTGTCCCCGTGTCCGTGTCCCCGCTGTGCCTCAGTTTCCCCGGGCCCCGTGTCCGTGTCCCCGCCGTGCCTCAGTTTCCCCTGACCCCGTGTCCGTGCCTCAGTTTCCCCTGTCCCCGCCGTGCCTCAGTTTCCCCTGACGCCGTCTCCGTGTCCCCGTGTCCGTGACCCCGCTGTGCCTCAGTTTCCCCTGACCCCGTGTCCGTGTCCCCGCCGTGCCTCAGTTTCCCCTGACCCCGTGTCCGTGTCCCCGCCGTGCCTCAGTTTCCCCTGACCCCGTGTCCGTGTCTGTGTCCCCGCCGTGCCTCAGTTTCCCCTGACCCCATGTCCGTGTCCCCGTGTCCGTGTCCCCGCCGTGCCTCAGTTTCCCCTGACCCCGTGTCCGTGCCTCAGTTTCCCCTGACCCCGTGTCCGTGTCCTCGTGTCCGTGTCCCCCCGTGCCTCAGTTTCCCCTGACGCTGTGTCCGTGTCCCCATGTCCGTGTCCCCGTGTCCGTGCCCCCGCCGTGCCTCAGTTTCCCCTGACGCCGTGTCCGTGTCCCTGTGTCCGTGTCCCCCCGTGCCTCAGTTTCCCCTGACCCCGTCTCCGTGTCCCCGTGTCCCTGACCCCGCCGTGCCTCAGTTTCCCCTGTCCCCCCGTGCCTCAGTTTCCCCTGACGCGGTCTCCGTGTCCCCCCGTGCCTCAGTTTCCCCTGATGCGGTGTCCGTGCCTCAGTTTCCCCTGTCCCCCCGTGTCCGTGCCTCAGTTTCCCGTGACGCGGTGTCCCCCCGTGTCCGTGCCTCAGTTTCCCCTGACCCCGCCGTGCCTCAGTTTCCCATGTCCCCGTGTCCGTGTCCCCGTGTCCGTGTCCCCCCGTGCCTCAGTTTGCCCCGACGCGGTGTCCCCCCGTGCCTCAGTTTCCCCTGTCCCCCCGTGTCCGTGCCTCAGTTTCCCGTGTCCCCGTGTCCGTGCCTCAGTTTCCCCTGACCCCGCCGTGTCCCCCGTGTCCCCGCAGCGGAAGATGGAGGTTCGGGAGTTCCGGGACGCGCAGGAGTTCGCGGCCGACGTCCGGCTGATGTTCTCCAACTGCTACAAGTACAACCCGCCCGACCACGACGTGGTGGCCATGGCCCGCAAGCTGCAGGTGGGGCCCGGCATGCCCGGGATTCCCAAAAAAAAACCGGGAAAAGCCCGGGGAAAATCCCGGAATTCCAAAAAAAATACGGGAAAAGCCCGGGGAAAATCCCGAAATTCCAAAAAAAATCCGGGAAAAGCCCGGGGAAAATCCCGGAAATCCTGAAATTCCAAAAAAAACCACGGGAAAATCCCCGAAAAATCCCGGAATTCCAAAAAAAATCCGGGAAAAGCCCCGAGAAATCCCGAAATTCCAAAAAAAATCTGGGAAAATCCCAGGAAAAATCCCGAAATTCCAAAAAAAATCTGGGAAAATCCCGGGGAAAATCCCAAAATTCCAAAAAAAATCCGGGAAAATCCAGAAAAAATCCAGGAAATCCTGGAAAAATCACGGGAAAATCACAGAAGGATCCCGGAAATCCTGGAATTCCAAAAAAAATCCGGGAAAAGCCCCAAAAAATCCCGAAATTCCAAAAAAATCCGGGAAAAGCCCGGGAAAAATCCCGGAAATCCCAAAAAAATCCGGGAAAATCCCCGAGTGGTGCAGGCAAATCACGGGAAAATTGCGGGAAAATCACAGAAAGATCCCGGAAATCCTGAAATTCCCCAAAAAAATCCGGGAAAATCCAGAAAAAATCCAGGAAATCCTGGAAAAATCGCGGGAAAATCACAGAAAGATCCCGGAAATCCTGAAATTCCAAACAAATCCGGGAAAATCCCAGGAAAATCACGGAAATCCCAAAAAAATCCGGGAAAATCCCAGAATCCCCGAAATCCCAAAAAAATCCGGGAGAATCCCCAAAAGATCGGGGGAAATCCTGAAATTCCAAAAAAATCCGGGAAAATCACGGAAAGATCCGGGGAAATCCTGAAATTCCAAAAAAATCTGGGAAAATCCCAGAAAAAGCCTGGAAATCCCGAAATTCCAAAAAAATCCGGGAAAATCCCGGAAAAATCCCGAAATTCCAAAAAAAATCCGGGAAAATCCCGGAATCCCCGAAATCCAAAAAAAAATCCGGGAAAATCCCCGGAAGATTCGGGGAAATCCTGAAATTCCAAAAAAATCCGGGAAAATCCCAGGAAAAAGCCCGGAAAAATCCCAAAATTCCAAAAAAATCCGGGAAAATCCCCGAAAGATCCGGGGAAATCCTGGGAAATCACAGGAAAATCACAGAAAATCCCAGAATTCCCTGGAATCCTGGAATATCCCGAAAATCATGGAAAATTCCTGGAAAAATCCCAGTAAATTCACAGAATTCATGGGAATTTCAGAAAATCCTGGAAAAATCCAGGAAAATTCCCAGAAAAATCCCGGAATTCCCGCTCGGGATTTGGGGCTTCACGCTCAAAATTTGGGGATTTTTGCCGGGAATTTGAGGATTTTTGGGGGGAGAATTCAGGATTTTATTCCGGGGATTTTTGGGATGAGAATTTGGGATTTTTTCCTGGGAATTTTGGGAATTTTTGGGACAAGTACTCAGGATTTTTGGGACGAAAATTCAGGATTTTTGTGTTAAGTATTCAGGATTTTTGGGACGAGAATTTGGGATTTTTTTCTGGGAATTCCTGGAATTTTTGGCATGAGAATTCGGGATTTTTTTCTGGGAATTCCAGGGATTTTTGGGACGAAAATTCAGGATTTTTTTCTGGCAAGTCTGTGGATTTTTGGGATGAGAATTTGGGATTTTTTCCTGGGAATTTTGTGGATTTTTGGGACGAAAATTCAGGATTTTATTCGGGGAATTTCATGGATTTTTGGGACGAGAATTTGGGAATTTGTTCTAGGAATTCCGGGGATTTTTGGGACGAGAATTTGGAATTTTTTTCGTGGGAATTTTGTGGATTTTTGGGACAAGTATTCGGGATTTTTGGGATAAAAATTCAGGATTTTTGTGACAAGAATTCAGGATTTTTTCCTGGCAATTCCACGGATTTTTGTGACAAGTATTTGGGATTTTTTTCTGGGAATTTTGTGGATTTTTGGGACAAAAATTCCGATTTTTTTCCCGGGAATCCCGGGAATTTCTTTTCCAGGACGTGTTTGAGTTCAGCTACGCCAAGAATTCCCGCTCAGAATTTGGGAATTCCCGCTCAGAATTTGGGGATTTTTGGGATGAAAATTCAGGATTTTTGACAGGAGAATTCGGGATTTAATTCTGGGGATTTTTCTGACAACTATTCAGGATTTTTGGGACGAGAATTCGGGATTTAATTACGGGAATTCCGGGAATTTTTGGGACAACTATTCAGGATTTTTGGGATGAGAATTTGGGATTTAATTCTGAGGATTTTTGGGATGAAAATTCAGGATTTTTTCCTGGCAATTCCGCAGATTTTTGTGACAAGTATTCGGGATTTTTTTCTGGGAATTCCGTGGATTTTTGGGACCAAAATTCCGATTTTTTTCCTGGGAATCCCGGGAATTTCTTTTCCAGGACGTGTTCGAGTTCAGCTACGCCAAGAATTCCCGCTCAGAATTTGGGAATTCTCGCTTGAATTTGGGGATTTTTGGGACGAAAATTCAGGATTTAATTCCGGGAATTCTGGGGATTTTTGGGATGAAAATTCAGGATTTTTGACAGGAGAATTCGGGATTTAATTCCGGGGATTTTTCTGACAACTATTCAGGATTTTTGGGATGAGAATTTGGGATTTAATTCCGGGGATTCTAGGGACAAGAATTCAGTTTTTTTATCCGGGAATTCCGGGGATTTTTGGGACAAGTATTTGGGATTTCATTCCGGTATTTCTGGGGATTTTTGGGACAAGTATTCAGGATTTTTGGGACAAGAATTCGGGATTTAATTCCGGGAATTTTTGGGACGAAAATTCAGGATTTTTTTGTGGCAATTCCGCGGATTTTTGTGACAAGTATTCGGGATTTTTTTCTGTGAATTCTGGGGATTTTTGGGACGAAAATTCAGATTCTTTTCCTGGGAATCCCGGGAATTTCTTTTCCAGGACGTGTTTGAGTTCAGCTACGCCAAGAATTCCCGCTCAGAATTTGGGGATTTTTGGGACGAAAATTCAGGATTTAATTCCAGGAATTCTGGGGATTTTTGGGACGAAAATTCAGGATTTTTTCCTGGCAATTCCGCGGATTTTTGTGACAAGTATTCGGGATTTTTTTCTGGGAATTTTGTGGATTTTTGGGACGAAAATTCAGGATTTTTTCCTGGCAATTCCGCGGATTTTTGTGACAAGTATTCGAGATTTTTTTCTGGCAATTCTGTGGATTTTTGGGACCAAAATTCCGATTTTTTTCCCGGGAATTTCTTTTCCAGGACGTGTTTGAGTTCAGCTACGCCAAGAATTCCCGCTCAGAATTTGGGAATTCCCACTCAGAATTTGGGGATTTTTGGGACGAAAATTCAGGATTTAATTCCGGGAATTCCGGGGATTTTTGGGATGAAAATTCAGGATTTTTGACAGGAGAATTCGGGATTTAATTCCGGGGATTTTTCTGACAACTATTCAGGATTTTTGGGACGAGAATTTGGGATTTAATTCTCAGGATTTTTGGGACAAGTACTCAGGATTTTTGGGACGAGAATTCGGGATTTAATTCCGGGAATTCTGGGGATTTTTGGGACGAGAATTCAGCATTTTTTTCGTGGCAATTCCGCGGATTTTTGTGACAAGTATTCGGGATTTTTTTCTGGGAATTTTGTGGATTTTTGGGACGAGAATTCAGGATTTTTTCCTGGCAATTCCGCGGATTTTTGTGACAAGTATTCGGGATTTTTTTCTGTGAATTCTGGGGATTTTTGGGACGAAAATTCAGGATTTTTTTCTGGCAATTCTGTGGATTTTTGGGATGAGAATTTGGGAATTTGTTCTAGGAATTCCGGGGATTTTTGGGACGAGAATTTGGAATTTTTTTCCTGGGAATTTTGCGGATTTCTGGGACAAGTATTCAGGATTTTTGGGACAAAAATTCAGGATTTTTGTGACAAGTATTCAGGATTTTTTCCTGTGAATTCTGTGGATTTTTGGGACGAAAATTCAGGATTTTTTCTTGGGAATTTGGGCTTTCATTCTGTGAATTCTGGGGAATTTTTGTGACGAGAATTCAGCATTTTTGGGACCAAAATTCCGATTTTTTTTCCCTTTAGGACGTGTTTGAGTTCAGCTACGCCAAGAATTCCCGCTCAGAATTTGGGAATTCTCGCTCGAATTTGGGGATTTTTAGGACGAAAATTCAGGATTTTTGGGACGAAAATTCGGGATTTTTTCCTGGCAATTCCGCGGATTTTTGTGACAAGTATTCGGGATTTTTATCTGTGAATTTTGTGGATTTTTGGGACGAGAATTCAGGATTTTTTCGTGGCAATTCCATGGATTTTTGTGACAAGTATTCGGGATTTTTTTCTGTGAATTCTGTGGATTTTTGGGACGAAAATTCAGGATTTTTTCCTGGGAATTTGGCCTTTCATTCTGTGAATTCTGGGGAATTTTTGTGACGAGAATTCAGCATTTTTGGGACCAAAATTCCGATTTTTTTTCCCTTCAGGACGTGTTTGAGTTCAGCTACGCCAAGAATTCCCGCTCAGAATTTGGGAATTCTCGCTTGAATTTGGGGATTTTTAGGACGAGAATTCAGGATTTTTGGGACCAAAATTCCGATTTTTTTCCCGGGAATCCTGGGAATTTCTTTTCCAGGACGTGTTCGAGTTCAGCTACGCCAAGAATTCCCGCTCAGAATTTGGGGATTTTTGGGACGAAAATTCAGGATTTTTGGGATGAAAATTCAGGATTTTTGACAGGAGAATTCGGGATTTCATTCTGGGAATTTTTGGGACAACTATTCAGGATTTTTGGGATGAGAATTTGGGATTTAATTCTGGGGATTTTTGGGACAAGTACTCAGGATTTTTGGGACGAGAATTCGGGATTTAATTACGGGAATTTTGGGGATTTTTGGGATGAGAATTCAGGATTTTTAGGACGAGAATTCAGGATTTTTTCCTGGCAATTCCGCGGATTTTTGTGACAAGTATTCGGGATTTTTTTCTGGCAATTCTGTGGATTTTTGGGACCAAAATTCCGATTTTTTTTCCCTTCAGGACGTGTTTGAGTTCAGCTACGCCAAGATGCCGGACGAGCCGCAGGATCCCGGCGCCGCGTCGGCGCCGCTGCCGGCGGCCAAATCCTCGTCCGAGGAATCGTCCAGCGAGGAGGAGGAGGAGGAGGAGGAGGAGGAAGAGGAGGAAGAGGAGGAAGAGGAGGATGAGGAGGAGGAGGAGGAGAGTTCCACGGAAACGAGCTCCGAGAGCGACGAGAGCTCCGACTCCGAGGAGGAGAGAGCGAACCGGCTGGCCGAGCTGCAGGAGCAGGTGGGGAAATGGGGGGAAATGGGGAAAAATTGGGGAAAATTGGGGAAATATTGGGGGAAAATG